TGATGGTTTTGGGATGGAAGAGTCGTGGGGATGTTGACTGTCCATGCTGGGGAATTTGCAGTGACTTTGAGGCTGGGAAGCGTATTTCTGGTATTCCACGGCTGCCGAGATCTTCTAAAGCAGCTCCCATCTGCTGCGTAGTGATCTCAGCATGATAAAGTTATGGAGATATCGATTTTCCAAGCCGAGAAGATCACAATGGGTGTGAAGCTGGGGAGCATTTTGCTGGTATCCCATGGCTGCCAAACTGGCTTTAAGCAGCTGCACTCGGCATAACGGATTTGATTGCATTGTTGGATATCGGGGATGTTTAAACTCCATAGCGTCACTTACTGGTGGTGGTGGAGGCGAAGGCGGTGGTGGTCTTGGTGTGATCTATATGGCATCGTTAGAATTTGTTCAAATCAACTCTCCCAGCGTCGCAGAACAGGCATCCAGCCGCTTCAGTCGTCGTGGTAGTGCTTTCAGGCAAGAAGCCATCACGGAGAAGCCTTGATGTCCTGTTCTTCGATATGAGTTGAGGCTTACGATTGTGCTATTGCTGCTTGCTTCCCAACGATGTCGATTAGCCAACAGCCAGTATAGTCAGTTCGATGCGACTTACCCAAGATGTTCCAATGCGTGAGAGAGAAAGCAAGGTGAGGTGAAGGTTGAAGTTTACAAGAAGATAGTGCCAAGGCTAGCCAGACAGCTCCCAAATCCGACACATATCCTACCCAATCTACCTCGCCATAACAAATCCCAGATCCGCCGTGATAGCCCAATGCTCCTGCACAGAGAGCAATCAGCGCGATCGATGCCATCGCAAGCAGGAGACGCTCACACTCGCCAACACCCAACGAGCCCCCTCCTCCTCATACTCCTCCACTACTACCGATTGATCACTACGATTTCGACGCCATACGGGCACCTCCTCCGCCGCGAACAACAGCTCCGACTGCCGGTAACGCCTTCGGTCGATCCGAACTACCATGGCAAACGACTCCGGCGCAACAGCTTTGTCTTCTGAGCAAACCTTTCCGCCAAACATCTTGCGGCAGCACCAGCGAGCACTTCCCATCTTCAGCGACGGCGACAGAGAGAAGGGCAGGCTGGCATGGAAGGATGATACTGGTGTATAACGCACGGAAATTACTGTGTGTCGACATATCTACACGCATAAGCCACGCCTTCGTGCTGGTCACTTATTCCGCCATGTTTCCGAGGCGCGCAGGGGCGGACGACAGGATACAGAAAGAGCAGCGTGGGTAAGAGGGATTGGCGCAACGATGAAAGTGCAAGAGCGAGAACTGCAGCATGGGCATAGGTCGGGACATGGTTGATTTATGTATGCTGCGCGAAGATGAGCATGGGCGACGATAACAAGCACGAAGAGGGAGAGGTTGCAGACGTACCTCTTTAAAAACGCTGCTCGCGCGTATTGGCGGGCTCACCCAATGCCACTTTGCCTGGAGATCCGGGACCTGGAAGCCAACGAAGCACATTGTCGCCCAGCGCCTCCATTCAAGCGACGACGATGAGCTGCGCGACAAGCGATGAGCAGTATGAGAGCCTGGCACAGTTGAAAAGGTCAAGCAGTCAGGCGAATCGAGGACGCCGGGAACAGTAAGAGGATATTGTACTAACAGCTCTCCAAGGCATGCGCAAGCCAGCGCGTAGCGAACATACCTTGGTGGACGGAGTCATGGACTGAAGAAAGCGGTACATACCTTTCAAAAGCCACCAGAAGCGCAAGAGGACCGATCACGAGCAAACCGAGAAGGCACGGCACCTCATTGTCACCACTGGCAGGCCACAGAGCCAGCTCCAGTCTGGGTGCGACTTGACCAGCCATTGATGGACGCATACCTTTGTGGACGGTGTCGTGGACTCAGGAAGAGTCCTACACATCGTACAGGACCATCAGAAGCTCGAGAGGACGGATTATCAGCAGAGTAAGGTGGTGCGGCGATTTGAAGTCCCCATGGACAAGTCACGAAATCAGCTCCAGTCTAGACGAGGTTTTGGCCATACATTGGCCAGCGAGGAGGCCAGCCCAAGTGGCGTGGGCCTGCGAGCACGCCAACGGCATATTGACAGCCTGGAAGTCCAGCACGGCAGTCTTGAATGCGCTCTCCATCGGGAAGGACGTCAGGTCCGCCGTACAGCGGGTCCTTGCTGCGGACTCAGTGTGGGAGCGCAAGACAGCCGGGTTTAGGCAAAGGGGCACGGCATGACGACTTGAATTCACCACGGGTAGGCCACCGAGTCAGCTCCAGTCTACTGGCCAGACATTCGTGGGCTCAGCCAAGGGGCATGGTCCTGGGGCACAATCATCAGCACATCGACAGCCTGCATGCCCAGCACGGCGTTCGTCGTTGCGCTGTCGCCGATGACGCCGAACAGCCCGTCTTTGCTGCGATCTCCAAGCCGCAGACTCAGCGTGGTATCAACTCACAGGAAGCAAGGGTGCTGCGGCCGAGATGGTCATCGCAGTACCCTGATCCTGCACGACATCCAGTAGTACTACGTGGCATGGCACTTTTCTGAGCATGCGCGGTTCGCAGTGCCAGGAAGAGTGCACGAACGCCATCTCGTTAGACGCCAAACCTCTCGCATCTCCTACTTCTTTCTCTTCGTATGCCGCCAGAAAAGCACAAGTCAAGCGGCCGTCATGGTCATCGCTCGCTTTCTCGCTTTCCTTTCTATTACGTTTCACATAAGTCTTTCATCCAAGCACTCCAGCATGATACTTCCTGCCAGACGGAAAAGACTGGGCGGCCATGAAGGTCATCGCCCAGCGCCGTCAGAAAAGCAAAAGTCATGCGGCCATGAAGGTCATCGCTCGCTTTCCTTTCTTTTACGTTTCGCACATCTCTTTGATCCAAGCACTCCAGCATGCTTCATTCCAGACGGAGAAAACTGGGCGGCCATGAAGGTCATCGCCCAGCCTGCCGCTGCCGACAATGTTCATCCTTATCGTCTCTCTTGTTTACTTTTCGCAGTCGACAGGAGGTGGTAGTGGTATAACTGGGGCTGCTAGCATTCCCGGCGCGGCATGCTGCGGTGGCTACACAACGCCCACAGCACGAGCTCGAACCGGATTTGGTGGTGAGTTGTTCAACTACCAGCTCCCAGCTCTTTGCATGTCTCTTCCTTGTCCTGCCTACATGGCTTGCTCCTCAAGCGAGTTGTCCGGGTGGTAGATGATGATGGTGCCACGGCGTTTGGCGCGACTCATGTGCTCGCTGTGGAAGCTGGGGTGGTCGTGGGGGTAGTAGTCGCGCGTAGCGATTTTGAGAGCGAAGGATAATTCGAGAGGTGGTTGATGATTGGCACGAGCTCGCGGCCGGCGTTGATTGCGAGCGCGCCGTATGAATCGCGGAAGCCGTTTTGGCTGGAACGGCGGAGGTGGTGAGGAAGATGCCGCAGGTGGGTATGCTGATCTGGTGAGCTGATTCGCAGGCCCATGATCACCAGCGCATACCCGCGAGGGCGAGCGGTGGTCATTGCTGCTGATGGTCGTTGTTGTGAAGGTGGAGGTGTAGGTGTTTGGTGAGAGTAGCGGAGCGGGAGTGATGCTATGCTCGCATGCTAGGGAGGTGTGAGGCTCGCTGGCTGCTCGTCAGGTGGTGAGCGGGCCTGAGATGGCTCTCCGCTCGTGCTGTGTGAGTTCTGATAGTGTGCTGGCGGTGTTGCTGCTGCTTGGGGGGGTGGTGGTGGTGGAAAGTTGACTTTGGCAGCCTGGACCAAATTTGGTCTACAGGCGTGGTGAGGAATACTTGACCGCTCTAGCGACCAGCGGAGCTTGTGCTGAGCATGCACAGGCCACTTGCAGGATGCTCTGATGATTGGTATGGTGTGTGGAAGACCTTGTCGCCGCTGGGGTGAGGAAAGCGAACGGGTCTTGGCAGCCAAACTGAGTTTCGGCGGAGCCGTGCGCGCTAAACTCAGATCCAACCGCACTCCATCGCTCTCCCACGAGCGTACCACCCTCAGGGCAGCACCGCCGTGGTGATGAGCAAGCTGTTGCGTACATGAAGAGCAGCCGACCGAGCTGTCTCTACCAACCAGATCTCGAGATGAGAGCTGGGCCAGGACGGATCCGAGCCTGCAGCTACAACCTGCCGCGGAGGAGCCCACAACCACTCGAGGACTCGAGGACCATGATGAGCACGTAGCAAGGGCCATCATTACCACTGGTATACAACTGCAAAAATACACAGTACAAGACGGGTAAGGATCGGGGACGCAGCTGTGCAGGCACCGCAAGATGGTAAATTATTCATTCTTTCTCTACATTGCCCGGTTTTCTGTACTCAGGGAAGCCATGAACCTACGGACAGCTTGCGAATTCATGAAGAGATAGAGAAAGGACGTCCAGGGGGACGAGGAAGCTGCTGCTTTGTCAAAGTTCGCTCTTACTCCACTTCATGTGTCTCTGCGCTCTGTCGCGGTAGTGCTTTCATGGACGTCTTGCATGCAATGAGAATGTTGCATTTTAGCATGGTGGCTCGCTGATAGCTGAGGATCTGGAACGCTTACGCAGCAAGTACATCTACCACGTTGAGATCGTAGATTTTTCAAGGCTGTTGGAGACTGCAGTGGCTTTCTGGGCTTGTCACAGTATACATGCATTGGTTCATAGTATCAAGAACTCATCCCACGCTCAGGAATCTGTGCAATTGACCATGCCACATGTCATTGAGTCCGCTGATATGTCAAGTCTCGAGTAGCATGAAGGTAATATAAAGATTGTGTGAAACTGTCTCTGTATGCATGGGCTCGGGCAAGGCATTGCCTTGCGGAATGCGACTCGCTGAAGTAGTACCTTGCATTGCTTCGCTGTTGAACGGTAGAAAAGTTACCCTCTCTTCAACATACGGTAGCGGCGTTGCACGGATTGCTCGCGTAATATCTACTGTAAAAAGTGTGCTTGTTACTTGAGCGTGTGGGTTGTATTGATATGCTGGAGTCAAGCATGGCGAAAAGCGCAAAAAAGAGAAGTCTTTCGACTTGAGTGCAGACACAGGGAGTCGAACCCCGATCTCTGTCAGTATTATCGGATACTGTGATTATTGAAGACAGAATGCTAACCGTTACACCATGTCTGCAAAGAATGTGTGTGATCATGCAAGACCCTCCGCAGCGTGAGTGCAATTGTAGAAAGTCTGAAAGTTTGATTAGCATTTGAACCCAATGGTTTGTGTTGTTAGTGTGCAGTGATGGGCAGGCAGGCAGCGGCAGCAACACTATGTAAGCTAATGTACAGACTATCTATAAAATGACGGCATGACTTGGTCCCATTATATACTACCCCTTCGGATTGCCGATGTAATGCCTTGTGCAGCTTTTCTGCTTCGACATATATGCCACCAATACTCGCTCTTCGAGTCATTTCTTCATGGCAAGCAATGCTAGCATCTCACCAGCATCACACGTAGATATCCTGCCCATACTCAGTGCAGCGCCTCGAGTTATAATCAGCGTTCGCGAGATATCGTTGTCGTCGTCCTCGTTGCCCCGACAGTCCGACCACGGGATTGGCCGCAAGCTTGGCCATCCTATTGTATTTCGAACCTCACTGCTCGTCCTTCTCCTCTTCAGCAACGACCATCTCGACCGTACGTAACACACCGTCCTCCCTCCAGACCGATTCGACGACGACGAGAGCGTAACGCTGACCATCCCATTGATATAGCAGACACCAAAGATCATCGTTTCTGCCGTAAGTCCATCCCTTCACTTCCTCCTCAGCACCTTGCGACGACCGAGTCTGCAACGATCTCAGCGTTGCCGAATAGGCCTCGAGCCTGTGCCCTCTGCTTCATCACTATCAATGCGTGCTTTGCGACGGAGATGCTGACTTTCCTCGTTCTCAGAACGACACACACAACCACTGTAAGTCGACCTCCCAACCCAAAATCCACATCACCCACCTCCCACCTCATGGACTCGAATCCAACGATCTCCGCAACGCCGAATCGATCAAGAGGCACTGCAGCGAGCAAAATACACATATCAGAGCGTCGAGAGCAGGGGACTAACGATTGCCGTGTTTTCAGACAACAACCACCACCACCACCACAGCAGCAGCAACAACAGCATCGTAAGTTGGATTCTTTTGTTATTTCAGCAGTAAGAGTTGGTATCTCCGCAGCGCCCCATGATTGAAGAGCCGCTACACTCGGTTTCGTGCGCTTATATGGCTGTCTCATGCCGGAGATGCTTGTTTTCCTGATTATGGAATTCATGGCATTTCCAGCCCGCATAATCAATCTCAGCAGTACGAGAGTCGGTGCAGCTGCTTGTGTGCTATACGGCATCGCGGAGATGCTCGCTTTACTGCTCAGCTACTGTTGCGTCCGTTCATTGAAGATGATTGCTAACCAGTGTATATACAGATGTGTAAAGTCTGCATCACGCAGTATGGCTGCGGCCGTGTAAGTCTAGTCGCCTGTAGCCCCCCGTCTCGTCTTCATGCTGATCAGACGGTAGTCCTACGAGCACATCTTGCCGGCGTTCGGCCCAGGGGGCGTAAGGTTGTCGCCTTGCGACGACTTCACGCCGAAGGGGGCGGCGGTCGGTCGTCTGGGGGAGATTGGGCCCTGCCCTGGCAGGACGGTGGAGATGGGGGAGCGCTCGTCGCTGCCCTTGTGTCCGCCCTGTTCGGCCGACTGGGCCGACTGGGCGGCCACCCAGTTCCGGCCGGGGTGGGGTCCAGATGGACCGCCGACTGGTGCGCGCGCGCCGTGGCTGCCGCCGCCTCCTTCTGCGGCGGATGTGGAGTTTGCCCGCCGGCAGGCGTGGTACCACGAGATGTAAGTGTGTGAGCTTTTCCTTTGTTGTACAGCAAGCAGCATGTCGGCATCTCCGCGCCGCCAAATCGACACAAGGCCGTATACTCTGGCGTGCTGGACTATGCCATGGCCCTACTGGTGAGATCTCAGCACGCCGGACTTCTGGATTCTGCTCTGGGATCAGGTATTGAGGCAACATTGCTGGACCCGGCTTTTTGGCATCTCAGCGACGCCGAATGGCCTCGAGGCGGTGTACTCCGTGTGGTGGGCACAATACCACGGTCTCGTTAGCGAGATGTCAGCACGCCAGGTTTTCGAATTTCCCTTTGGATTCAGGATTTCCTCGCGAATTGTCGGACCAGGCTTGTTGGCGTCTCCGCGACGCCGAATAGGCTCGAGGCGCTATAGTCCGCTTGGTGTGTACAGCATACCGTACTGCTTTGGAGAAGGCCACCGGCCAGATTTGAGGCTTACGGCGTATTTCTACTGGAATCCTGAAAATCGAAATTGCGGCCTGCTACCCTCTCGAGGGTTACCAGCTCCACTGAGACTCATTTCGGAGAGTACACCGCCTGTTCGACGCTGCTGCACTGCGGGGATGTCGATTTTTTGACTGGAATTTGCTGTACCGACGGTTTCCGACAGCACCATAGCACCTTCCGAACTATGGTGTGGACAGCGATGGTTCCTTCCTTCCTCCGGATGGATGCGCTTGCCAAGACGGACCGATTCGGCTAGATTATGACGTTACAGCTTCCGCGGACATCTTCACACGTGCTTGCTTGCTGTTGAAACAACACTTCATTTGGTTGTCTACACTTCAATAGACCTTTGCTGACTCGTCTACTTCTCTCTTCAGCTTCTACCTCAAGTGGAAGAAGTCCTAAACACACCACAACACCGCCAAAATGGTCCTGGGCCACCGAAAGAACAGTCTTACCAGCAACCGCTCGTCGACCGACGCAACAAGAGACAGCGACGCTGAAGAAGATGTCGAAGTGGTCAACACAGAACAGGGCAACGTCCTTACACACATCATCTCACAACTACGTCCCGGAGCCGACCTTTCACGCGTTACACTACCCACTTTCATACTCGAACCACGCAGCATGCTCGAACGAATCACCAACTTCATGGCACATCCCGACATCCTCCTCACACTACCCACAATCGACGACCCCATCAAACGCTTTGTAGCTGTCACAAAGTTCTACCTATCGGGCTGGCACATCAAGCCGCCCGGAGTCAAAAAACCACTTAATCCCATACTTGGAGAGACATTCACGGGCTTTTGGGAGTACCCAGATGGCACCAAAGGATACTACATCAGCGAGCAGACATCACATCATCCACCAAAGAGCAGCTACTTCTTCATGGCACCAGAGCATCGGATCAGGATCGACGGTACGCTTAAGCCGCGCAGCAAGTTCTTGGGCAACAGCGTCGGCAGTTTCATGGAAGGGATAGCCGTCATGCGCTTTCTCAACCGCAACGAGCGATAGTGAGTACATCTCCGCCGTCATAACAGCTTCAAACAACTGACGGAACGCGTACAGCTTCATCACCCAACCCAACATGTACGCACGCGGCATCCTCTTCGGCAAGATGAAATACGAGCTTGGAGACCACGCAGTCGTACGTTGTCCAGAGACTGGCTTGGAAGCAGACATTGAGTTCAAAGTAAAAGGCTGGATGGGCGGAACATACAACGCAATTGGTGGATATATCAAGGACAGCAAGAGCGGCAAGAACCTGTTTGAGCTCAGCGGACTATGGCACGGCGAGATGTTCAGCAAGGACCTGGCAACGGGCAAGAAAGAACTCTTGTTTGATGCTACACACGCGAAGCCAAGCATGGTCAAAGCACGTCCATTGAACGAACAATCTCAAGGAGAATCGCAGCGATTGTGGGACACAACAACACGCGCGATCAAGAAGGCAGACCACAGGAGTGCGACGGATGAGAAGAGCAGGATCGAGGATGAGCAACGAAAGCTAGCTTCGGATCGTGGCGGCGAAGAGAATTGGACACCAGTGCTGTTCAAGGCGGCTCCACCTGGCGATGAAGAACAGCTGGACTGGATCATCAACGCGCAAGTGGACGCCAACGCGTCGCCGGACAAGCAGATACAACAGATCCTTGCCATCGCGCCCATACTACCAGGCTCAAGCATGCAGGAGGCGAAACAACAGCCATCCGAGCAAAGCAAGACGCTCTCTCCTCAGCAGTCAACGCAAAGCCAACAAACCCAACGTTCCGGCAACGATCTCATCGACTTCGGACAGCACGACAGTAGCGCGTCACAACCACGTCAACAACAACCACAACAACCGTCCAGCAGCAGCGCTAGCAACGATCTCGCAGCCGGTATGAGTGGGATGAGCATGCGTGGCAGCAGTGCAGCACCAGCACAACAGCAGCCAGCAGCACAGCAGTGGAGGAACGGACAACCAATCGTGCGTCAGAACAGTGCGGGAACGGAAGAGACGTTCGTGGATGCTGAGACCTGATGAAATTTTCTTATGTTATGCATGCGTTTGTGCTTCTTCGCGGCGGCGTAATGGGCTGGAGTGTGCATAGACCGCATACGCGATGATACCAAAAGACAGTGCGGCCATTGCTTGGTTGCCATCTCACGAATGAAAAGTTTCCTTTGAGCCTGTGCCATCGTCGTTGACAGGTCATTAGCGTGCGATACCACTGAGATGCTTGTAATCCCCATTCTCAGGATTTGCTAATAATGCTACTTTCAGGTCTCGAAAGCATACCTCTCCGCACCGCTGAACACTACTCAAGGCGCTCTAGTCGCGAAGACTATACCATTAGTCGTGATTCATGCCGGAGATGCCTAAAATCCTCATTTTCTGATTTTGCTGATTTCACAACTTCCAGGTCCCAGAACATGCCTCTCCGCATCACCACATGCCCGTCGTGGCGGCGTGATCGTCATGAACATCATATCGGACGTCAATCATGGCGGAGATGCCTGAACTCCCTTATCTCGACATAGCTGATATATCTACCTTCAGATCTCAGAAAACATACATCTCCGCACCGCCGACTGCCACCCAAGGCACTCCCGTCGCCACGAGTAAACGATTAGCCGTGATTCATACTGGAGATGCCTTGAATACTCGATTTCCAATCCGGTCAAAATCGCCATTTTCAGGTTCCAAAACATGCCTCCCCGGAACGCCAAATGCTACTTGAGGTGGTATAGTCGCAGCGATCACACTATCGACAGTAGTTGACCGCGGAGGTGCTTAGATTGCTCAATTCCCAATTTGACTGATTCAGCTACTTCCAAGCTCAA